AACTCGATTCCAAATGGGTGACACGCTACTACGGCTCCTTTGTCAAAGGCACCAAGCTATGGATCATAATGGAGTTGTGTTCGGGCGGGTCGTGTCTAGGTTTGGTAAGCACGTCCTACTCTTGTGCAAATTGTGATTGATTACAACCTGACATACAACATCAAAAGATCAAAGCAGGACTCATAACCGAGCCCCACGTAGCTGTTATTATGCGTGAGCTCCTCCAAGCGCTCGATTACCTACATCGTCGCGGAAAGATACATCGAGACATCAAGGCTGCGAACGTGTTGTTGACGGAGCGTGGGGAGATCAAGTTGGCGGATTTCGGTGTTTCTGCTCAGGTGCATTTTAAGCTGCATAGGATACTTCGCATCATGGCTAAGAGTCTGATTGTGACTTCTTGGCGGAAGATAAGATCACAGCCACCATTACGAAGAAGAACACGTTCGTTGGAACGCCGTATTGGATGGCGCCCGAAGTGATTTTGCGGTCAGCTTATAATGCGAAGGTTGGCTTGATTGCGAGCGGCACAAAATGTATAAAGAGAGCTGATTACGTGAACGCAGGCTGACATATGGTCTCTCGGAATCACCGCGTGGGAACTAGCCAAGTAAGAGGTTTATGACCTCCATGTGAAATTATACTTATGTGCTGATGAATGGCAATTACGCACAGCGGTCTTCCACCACACGCCAATCTCCATCCCATGCGCGTCCTCTTCATCATTCCACAACAGCCCGTCCCCACATTGGACAAGAAGTTTTCTCCGGAATTCCGGGACTTTGTTGCGAAATGTTTGGCAAAGCGGCCTAGTCAGGTAAATGAGCAGTCTGTGATTTGGCGTCGCAATCCATGTGTTTGTGCTCATCAAGTCTCCAGCGCCCAAATGCACGAGATCTCCTCACGCACCCCTTCATACAAAACGCTACAGATGTGTCCATTTTGAGAGAGGTGACGAGTTGCATGTTGGAGCGGAGGGCGGTGTCTGCCGAGACGAAGCAGGCGGATCCGTGAGTTGGAGTGAAAGCGCAGTACCTTTTAATGATGAGAGAGCTGATGGCCCATAGACCACCTCAAGAGGAAGAGGCATCAAACGCGACGAGCATAGAATGGGACTTCAATACTGTTATGAAGCAAGCAACTATGAAGGTATTGGTGGGGTCATTCGTTTGTATGAAGACGGTGGCATAGTTTGTTGATAGCATGTTCCTGCTTGGCAGGCATCGACATCAAGCGCTATTCGGAGGGACAAACCGAAAATCGATGATCGTAATTTGGGAAGAAGGTACATACGTCATATTGGACCTTCAAAACTCATCCGCGATTGATAGTGGCCATCTTCTAACCCGGATCAACACGCCTCAGCATCGCATTCGAGGACGAATTCGACGATGCACGACCTGTTGACAATCGACTGCTAAACAATGAACATACACGCAAGGATGCAGCACCCGCTTCTGCGCCCTCGGTGGCAGCGTCCACGCAATCACGATTCTTGCAGGCATTGAAAGAGGTTAACATTGCAGTTGTTTTCACCGTAGGATTGTCCAAGGCTGACATGTGTGCAATGCAGGCCGAATCCCACCTCCCGCCATCGATAGAACGTCAAGTCCTACATGACATCATGGACCGTCTCACCACGTCTCCGTCTATCGAGAAAGTCATTCTTGATGCGTTGAATGCTTGTGATATAAGGTAAGGTGTGAAAATGAATCTGTGGCCCGGTCCACTTGCATGGCATGAGGAATTCTTGATGCCAACCACCGTACTTCGGCAGTGAGGATACAATTTCAAAAGTCCAGAACTCCCCGACGGAAGAACTCCACCGTCAAAGTATCGACTGGCCGCCCAAGCGCAGTCCTGTGGCCGAATCCCTATATCGTCGGTGGAAGTCCAGGGCTTAAAAGGGTCAAACTCTCTTTAAGTTGGACCAAAACTTCTTGTAAATATCTTTGTTTCGGCTGACTTCAAGAATGTAGTAATAAGCCGCAGTCAACATTGTACGGCGTACGATTTTTCACACTTATCGGATGGGCGACCTTCTCACTGCATGCAAAAGCAATCCTCCCGCGATTTGAACCTTGCCGAACAAACTCATTTTGTACAAATCGGGGTGGGAGTAAGTTTCCACCCCTGGCAACAAACAAAATCATACACAAAAGAAAAACAAGAAGGTAACAAAAACACATCCCCAACAAAGAAACTACCCACACCTAAACTTCGCGCAAACCCCCCTCCAAAAACCCTCACCCAACCAACTTCGCCCCATCCCCATGATGTCCGTTCTGTCCCGCCTGTTGCTGCTGCAACTGTGCATGCTGTTGAAGAAGTTGTTGATAGTACTGCTGTTGCTCTGCGATGCTTGCGCTGCTCCCGCCGGCGTCGTCTTGTGATTCGGCTTGTGCTTCGCCGTCGTCGGATTGGGATGCCTGAAGAGGGTGGTGTGTGTCAGCCAGTGTAAGGAGTTTGAGGATGGAATGGTGAGGAGATACCTGTCCGTTTGCTAGTTGGTAGGCGAGGAGTTGTGTTTGTTGTTCTGGTGTCAGGCCCTGCATGGCGACAAAGTATATTGAGATTTCTGAACTTGCGATGGGTGTAAATATCGCTGACTAAAGATTTACCTGCAGGTATTGCGAGTTTTGGATGTAGGCGAATGGCATGTCCTGAAAATAAACAATGATGAGATGGATGAGCATTGTCGATTCTTGAGGACAACAGAACGCACTTTGAGGCCGGGTATGGTTGGAGTTTTGTTCATTTCTTCTCGTGGGACGATGTCGATCAGGACTGTCATTCATCAACGCTTCGGTCAGACTTTCTACGGAGTCAATGCCGCCCAAAGTTTCGAACATCACTTACAATCATACATATCCGCTTTACTGACAGCGGTCGCCACATCGCTCTTCTGCAATGTGCGGCGCTTGTTTTCTTCGGTGTGGATCCATGACCGCATTGTTAGTTCGAGGATGAAGATTTCGCATGCTTTTGAGAAGATCATGGGTGCTTCTGCGCTGATCATCTATGGAGAGGGTAAGTTGTGGGCTTGATGAAACGCGTGGGAACGTGTTTTGCATACCATTGCCTGTCAAGTTGCTGTTAGTCAGAGTCATTCGTAGCCCCCAAAACGCCAGCTGGCCCATACCTTAACATCCTCATCAGCTTTCATAACCTTCTTGATCCTCGCCAAAGGCAACTGGTGGAATTTGAAGTCCAGAGGTCCGTGCTCGATATCGGTGATTTGCTGCTGCCAGAACGCTCGCGACATTTGCTGCACTTGGTCTGCGGTAGTATCTGAGCCTCCTGCAGCGGCGGCCGCAACTGCTGCGTGGGCAGCTTGTGTTGCTGCTTCGAGGGAGTGGGTGGAGGGGTCTTGGGAGTCGGGGGAGGAGGGTTCTTGGTCGGCCATTTTGGTGTGAAGTGAGGCGGAGTCCGGACGCGAGAGGGGTGGTGCCGTACAGTGAAGACCTAGTTGAACCAACTGCAACTATTACTGACAAGTGGGGGTGGTGGTAAGGGCGTATGCGTGTGAAGTGCGAGACCACTTTTGGCTTGTTATCGATGTAGCGAGTTGCCGCAGGAGTACCCGTAGGTATGAATGAAGGTGGGGTTGGAACTTGAAGTGGGCCTCGCATGGGAGGGATTGATGTGGATGATTGTCACAATGTCATTGATGGATGATTGTCATTGATGGAACCCAGGCTGCGAGGCGTGTGGCTGGTTGGAGAGCCACAGAACGCCCTCCGAGTCCCAACGCGTCATGACGATCAGCAGATTCAGCACAAAACATCCACCCAAGTCATCCATCCTCTCCCCAGTTTCTTTCCCCTCTACAATTCTCTCACTTGGGACTCATTTACCTCGTATCCACTCTGGAGGGCCAAGTCACCCGTGCCGAAAGACGAAGCTCCTACCACTTCCCGCCTATGTGGGGAGCTGGTGCCAGCCGTTCAGTGTCTCCTTGAGGCACGCTTCCGGAAATTTGTCCGGAGAGTCCTGGGTGGTCCTTCACCGGGCCATGGAGCTTAGACGAGTAGCGCGGCTGGCGGACGTCCGTTAATTCAGAGAGGGTTGCATACCGTGTCCTTCCCTCCCGTAGCTCAAAGTAGAGCAACCACTTTTTGGGGGTCATGGACTTTCAAGGTGGTGACTGCTGGTTCAAATCCAGTCGGGAGGGGCGATTTAGAGAGGTTTGGTTGCGTTATCGCCGCTTTGGATATCCAAGGTATGTACGAGCATCCCATCCATTGAGCCATCCACCCATCCATCCATCCATCCATCCATCCCATCCACTAATGCTACATGATCTCAATGTCGAGCAGCGACATTCTCCGCTCCCGTTGGAGTTTCCGGTCAAGTGCCAACCATGGCCTTCTGCCTTCCGACTCCTGCGCCCGCCGCTTTCAACGACCACATACCTACACACAACACGCAGTCCATACTCCATCGCATACGTGCAACCGTCGCTCGACACCAAGTATAACCACCACAAGGTACGTCGTCTCTGTCCACTGCTCTACCTTCATGACACTGACCTCACTTGCCGATACAGCAACGTTTGCACCGTACTGGACAACTCTGATTTTCAAGTCGAGTGTACTGAGCTAATTCGCTGTGTTGAGGGAGACGCCGATCTGGCAGCTAGTACTGGGAAAGAATGGCTCAGGGTATGTACAGTTGACTATTACTGTCGAAGAGTTCCTTCATTCATATGATTTCCTGTGCAGGGATTCAGGTAAGAGAAAGCGGAGAACGGCACGAGGGGAGTAGTGTGGGACGCACTTTGTGGAAACGGGCCTGTGCGAGCTGGTTAATATTTTGGAGACCCAATGACGGCATCTTGTCTTCGGAACGGATGTCAGGAAGTAAAAGGCCGGCAGCTCCTGCCATGAAGTGCCAACACATTGCAAGGATCCAGACCCCCGTTATCTCCGCTTTCGTTTCTGTGTTGTTTGAGAACTCTGTTTATCAATGTTCTTTTGTTAGATTTTTAGGCGTGGGGCGCTGAGAGTGCGGAGGAGGGGATGTAGGGGAACTGCTCAGGTAACCTGTCAATTCAACATCCTACTAATTGGGCCACGACACATCGCCACCTCCCCGTGGTGTGGCCTGGGCAGTCTGATGCAGTAACACATCAGTCTGGCGACGAGCGATGGACAGTGAAAGTCCAACCATTGGATTCAAATCTCATACCATTTCCCAATACTGACACATACTTCTCCTTCCCCCAACCCAGACGCGCCAACAGGTAGGTCGTAACCCCTTCCCGCCGGTTGAAGCAAGGCGACAATACGGGACTGGCAGGGAGGTATTGTAGTGATCCCTTGTGACACGAGTCTTTAAAAGCTCGTGAAGCTGCAGATGCAACCTCAGGCTACGCTTTTTGGGGCCGCACTGACACTCGGCGAGTCCTCCATATCTCTGGAGGGTCATGAGTTGTTAGAAGGGCGAGAACGGAGCCGCTGCACCCTCCCGCCTTCTACGACGGCCTTCCGGCTTAGGTTTGTATGGTGGTGGTTGCTTAGATGGATGGTTGACGAGTTGCCCCTTTTTATGTCCATCCTTGGAATGACGGATTCGGTCGTGCCGGTCCAGCATCAACAACTGTCTTTGACAACCACTGCATCAATCAATCGATTCCCCTTTGTATTGCACGCGTTGTATTGCACCCCTCCGTAGTGTGTAATGAATACAGTTTCGATCGATCGGATACTTCCATGAAACGACCATAGTTCACTTTTGGGTGAAGAAGATCGTTGTCGTTCCGTCTCATCGCTTTTCCACAATGTAGCATAACTTAAAAGCGCGAATAACAGACTGTACAGCAATACGGTTTGGTGTTGAATGAAGTTTGAAAAACAAGTAGAAATCTGAGCCATAAAAAACTACCCCAATAAAACCTATTTGTATCTATATCATTGGCTCTACAATCTACCCTATCTTACAACCTAAACGCTACACCAATGACCCCTCAACCAGCCATTTTTCCGAGCTTACAACTTGTTGAAGATGGCAGAGAGGTTAGCCCAGACGGCCTCTGGGGGCTGGGAGGCGTCGACGCCCTTCCAGATACCCTTTTTCTTATAGTACTCAGCAACGGGGGCGGTGGATTTGTGGTAGGATTCGAGGCGCTTGACGAGGGTTTGGGCGTTGTCGTCGGAGCGTTGGATGAGGGGCTCGCCGGTGATGTCGTCCTTACCGGGGACCTTGGGGGGTTGGAATTCTTTGTGGTATGATCGGCCACTAGAAGGTTTTGAGTGAGGACAAATTCAACCTGAACCGCAAGCCATTCATTACTACACGTGAGACTGGGTGCCCTACCTTGCGGGGTGAATCAACCGTCCTGTAATCCTGCTAACCAACAAGCTGTCATCGATGACCAACTCCACCGCGGTGGCCAACTTTTGCTTCTTCCCGTCCAACATCTGGTCGAGCTTCTCAGCCTGGACAACCGTACGCGGGAACCCATCAAGGATGAAACCGTTCTTGCACTCGGGATTGGACTCGATGTTCTCCTTGATGAGACCAACGACGATTTCGTCAGAGACGAGACCGCCGGCTTCCATGATCTTCTTGGCTTCCTTGCCGAGCTGCGGGATAAAGAATCAGTGGATTGTTTACATCAGCTGGCGTGTTGACTTGCGATCCGATTGATAGAAAGGCATAGCGCGGACCCGCTATTATTCAATGCCGCAGACACTTTTTCACATGTGTTCACTATATATCGACGTCTAGATTTCTGCCATGTTGTCCAATCCATCCACATCGGTAATTTCGCGTTGCTCCCCTACAAAACCTACAAGCAACCAATTTGACATGAAGCCTCACCTCGGTTCCAGCCGACACAGCAGCGCGAAGCATATCACCGGTTGCAAGATGGCATACGCAGTATGTGTCCTTAATACGGGGTGCCTGAGTACCCTTACCCGCACCTGCAAATAACGCGCACTGGTTAGCACTGTTCCACACTCCTCCTTAAATCTTCGTCTCCTGAACGATCTACACTGCCAACAGGTGGTTTTTTTGACAGGAATGCCCAGTAGCATCCTATTCAGCACGTACCAGGCGGGCCCATGATCACCATACGGAGCTCCTTCTTGTTGGAAGATTGCGTGGCACCCATTGTTGCAGTTTACGGTGAGATAGATGGGGATACGGATAGGGGTTCTGAGGTTAGGACCGCGCGTGTGAAGACGACGTCGTCGTTGCGTTTGCAGGAAGGTGGAGAATGGGAAGATTGGTGAATTCCGAGAGAATAAGGAAGGTGTGGGAAAGGAGACTGGCAAAAATAACCCATCTCAAAGGCCGCGCCCTGTGTTTTGAATCTTGATCCCATTGACGTGCTGGTTGCTCGGAAATTTGGGATAGGAACTGACTCATCATGACAAGAGCGAGTTCATTTCGCAGCCCAAATCCCTCCTCTGCGCTCCCTCTGGCTGTTCTTATTTTTAGACCGTAAATCTTTTCAGCAATTTGCTTCTAACTCCACTCTAGCACTTGAGGAAATAGCACTCATGAGTTGTCGGCGAGCAATCGCCAGCCTGTTGCGGACACGCGCCATCCACTTGCGGTCATCTACACCAACTGCTCGAGTCGCTACTCCTTGCCTCTCCTCCCCCACATATCATCTCCTCCCCACCAGCCCAACACACACCCAACTCCGCTTCTACGCCAAGAAAAAGGGCGGAGACGACACAAAAGCAAAAAGCAAGAAGGGCAAGCCCGCACCAGCAGGAGAAGAGGAACCTATCGCCGGAGAAGACTTCGAATTTGACGTCGACAAGTACTCCGACAAAATGAAGCGGGGGGTGGAAGGTCTGAAACGGGAGCTGGCTAACTTACGCGTCGGAAGGGCAACTCCAGGTAGTCTAGCCGATAACAGTGGATTTGAGCGCGTTCCAGTTAATGATCTCTGTAATAATCAATATATTATGTCCTTTTTCAATATCTGCCCGCTCCCGTCTGTCATGCAAATAGCTATCTTAGATTCGGTCCAAGTTTCACATCAAGGCGCCCGCGTTGCGTTGCCATCAATTGCACAAGTAACCGTCAAAGATCCACAGACTTTGCTGGTCATCGTTTCTGATGAGGAGGTGATTAACCATTTTAATTAAATTTTGAAGCAAAGCAGCGGACTCATTTCCCACATGCTCCATCAATAGCTGACCCCAATAGTAGAGCGCTCAATCCGCACCGCCGACCTGGGTCTAAATCCCATGAGAGAAGACTCCACAGTCCTGAAAGTTCCCATTCCTCGGTAAATAAGGGACAAGCTCTGCCCTTCCATGGTCCCATTCCGATATGAGAGCAATCCTCATGTTCATCTCTTCAACAGCGCAAATCAAGAAGTAAAAGACTCCCTCCTAAAATCCCTCCACAAATTCGCCGAAAAGACCCGCGAACACGTCCGAAACGTCCGCGCCGACGCCCGCAAAGAACTCCAAAGAGCCGAGAAGTCCAAAACCGCACCGCAAGATTTCATCAGGCAGCTTGATAAGGAGGTAAACGTCTTCGTCCTGCCGTTGTTCTGCCTTCACTTCATGGGGACCGAGAGTTCCACGTCTGTGCTTGTTCGGCTCATCTATCGAAACATTTCTCTAGATCCAAGCAACAACGGAGAAATTTGTTAAGGAGGTGGATACTATTATAAGCACGAAGACGAAGGAAATAGAGAGCGCATAGGACAAACCGATCTGGCTTCTTGACCTTCGGTTGGATTGATCTAATTATGTTCGCTCCACCTAGTCATTGACTCAGAGGTCCTCGAATCGATGCCTACATACCATGCAGTTCTCAACACTCACACGTCACAAACGTCCATCCACCTGTCGTTCCAAGATGTTGATGCAATGTACTTGACAGGAAGGACGGGACGTGGGAGTGTCCCGGATGGGACATTGGCCAATGAGAGGATTTGAATGCCGTATCTTGATTCGCAAAATGGTTGGATGGGAGTGTTCGATCGATGGAGTGCAGTTGTGCCGAGTGGGTGAAAGGGTCGGCAGGCACTGAAGGCGTCATTAACTGGATGAAAGTTGCCGGAGAGTTTTTCGGCAGCTTACCCCACTACATTGGTGCATACGCCCTCATTCCGCCAGTCGTTCGGCACCCGCTCATAGATTTGATGAGATTTCCGCAGACTTGATCCAGTTTCCATTCTCAAGGTTCCGGACTCAG